TATATAAAATATATAAATAAATACATATACAAAATATGGCATTACTTTCCAGAGAGATGTTACATTTCACAGGCCACCTTTCCTTATCCAGATTTCACTGTCATACAGAATTTGTCATGAAGTTCAGTAAACAATCAGCCTCAGAAAAAATGTTGTCAAAGTCCTTATGTGAAAGCATCACATACCAGAACAAAACCAAGTAACTTCTTTTCTGATTAATAGGACATATAATATCATGGCAGACAATTGGTTTAAATATTTAAACCAAATGGTTCTTTTTCTATGCTTAGATACAGGCAAATCATTTCTACCAAAGTCAAAGCAAGCAACAATTGTATGTAGCATAAATGAAGCACAGGGGTCTCAACACCCAGGTCCATGATCTCCCCATCTTGTCAGCATGGTTTTAAACAGGAGTTCCTCATACAGAATATGTGCTTTGGTAGAGTGTACCAAGACAACACAGAATAGATACAGCTTTTCAAAATAAATAAGCAAATAGAAAGGGTGGTACTGTAATGGCAATTTTTTTGTCCATGAATATTCTGTATTAATGTGAGGAGAAAACAGAGGAAACGTAAGCCCCGTTGCACAAACTGAAGCGAAGGACAGACAGAAGAATGCTTTACCAAGAGCTTCAGTGCAACTGTTATCCTTTCCAGTGGCATAATTCAGTGATGGGTACATTAGAAATACCAATAAAATAAAATAATTAAGAAAAAAAATATTACCTTGGCATTCATAGTTACTTCAAATAACAAAACTTAATCTCTTCTGGAAACACTGCCTTCGCTCCACAAATTCATTTCTATTGCCTAGAATAGGTCAGTGTGTATGCATATGGACCTATACATATTTTTAGATCATTCCATACCCTTACTTTCTTTTTGCATACAGAAGTATACACTAGAATTATTGTGTAGTATTTGGTATTCACATGTTACATTTAAATAGTTTATTAAAAAAACAATTATATTAAATACAGACTAACAGAATATTCATAATATATTTCACAGAAAAAATAGCCGTCTTTATTTTAGAAATACATTTCTTTAAAAAGTTCTTTGAGATTTTTATAAAACTTTTTACCCGTGAAGATAAGTTTCCCGTCAGACCTGTAAAAAAAAAAAAACCTTAACCTTTAAATCCTTGTGGTTTTTTCTTTTTTTTTTTTTTTAATACAAGTTTACAATCTACAAATTCTTTAAAATAAAATAAAAAAAACCAACAAAACAGTATCTTTCGGGATCAAATTGGTCACAGGCCGTTCTTTAAAAAGTCAGTGGAGACTCCCTGAATCCATTCTGAAGTGCCTTTTGTTTTTCTCTCTCTCTGGGTATTAGTGCAGGTTTACATGGGAATTCAGAGCTCCCTACACATTCTATAGGAAGCCTGATGTGTGCTGGTGGTGAGGTGCAGCTGCAGCAGTGTCCGTGGAGGCTGCGGCCCCCCCATCCACTGCAGGAGGCAGAGCTCATTACTCCACACGCAACGCAGTCCACAGTGTTTGCCCAGCCTCTCAAGGTCTCTGCGAGGTCCAGTGTCCACGCACAGGTGCCAGAAGAGCTGGCACCAACACTCATTTGCTTTCCAAGTTATAGCAGTGGACATCTCCTTTTGCCTTGTCATCATACCCGGGAAGCGGCTGTCCGTATTTATCCACGCACCAGCAGTAACCTCTCTTTCGGCCTTTGGATGGGCGACACTGAAACAGAATAAAAAACCCAGTTAGCATTTTTTTTTGTCTTCTCTGCTCTTAGTGTTATGTAGCAGGGATTCCTGCTTATTTGATAGCTGCACTTCCATATCCTGGCCATATCTGACAGAATCAAACAGATTCTTTATACTACTACACAGTACCTGCTCTGCCCATCAACCTCTTTGTGTCAAATTACTCCATAATAAAACTGTTCTGAGATCTACCAGAAAATAGCCCTGTGAATTACTCCCTATTGTATCAGGCAGCACAGTTGCCCCCCTTGAATATCAGGACTACATATACAGGTATACAGGCTGACAACTGGGACCCATCTTTGGAAAAGAAAGTTAACAGATTTATTCTACACTAAAGCACAGGTCTGGCAAAGACAGCCACTGCAGCAATAAACACCCTTGCCTTGCATCTGTTTGCTGGAGGAATTTCAATACTGTAGTTGACATTTATTAACTGATATATAATCCTTCTGTAATGGAGTTATCACTTCAACAACTGCTAGGTGTACTAGAACTTTTTATGTATAATTTCCTATAAATAAGGTTGCTTATATACTAGTCTATAACCTAGGTTAGCTTTAGAAGTTGCCTGGTGGAATTTGCCAGCAGTGCTGACCAACATGAAGCTATCACTAGACTCGAAATGACGCTGAACTTACTTAGCAACAGCAATGCAGTAAAAATGCATTACAAAGTCTAGTATGTATTAAGTAAGTAATGCTCTCCCCCCATGGAACGGTAAAATATAGACTAAAGGAGATGACATGTTGCAGGTTACCTACTCTGACCCAATGGGACCCTGCAAGGTTTATACCCACTCAAAGGACATATCTCTCCAGGACACAGACTCACTAAGTGAGGTCAACCTCATTGCCAAGACACAGCCTTCGTGTCAACTCAGGTTTTGAGATATTGTGATACAGGATTCATTGCAAATGCTAAATGAGGTAGCTGTTTAGTCAGGACAGACTTGCAAAGGAGGCAGTGACACAAATATACCCAGCTTTTCAAAGACTGAGGTTTCAGCTGCTGCATTGCCAACATGAAGGAACATAGGTTAGACTGAAGCCACTTATGACTTCAACACTGTAAATGCTATCTTGGAAGCAGTGCAAACGCTGCTTCTGAGATCACAATCACAGCAATTCAATTATTTCAGAGGTTCGGGTTGGCACAAGTCAAGTAAACTTTGCCACTTCCATTCAACTGCTTGTTCTCCAGAGTCTAACAGGCATGTTCCCATCTCTCATGAGGGTATGGCATTGGCTCACAAAGCTTTGCCATGTGTAGGTAAGCAAGGAAACATCAAGCAAGTTTTAGGCTTTGCATGCTGCCCAAAGTGCCCAATCCTTTCCACAGCTAGTTTGGGACCTCAGGCAAAAGGGTGGTATTTTGGACAGAACTGTGAGTATGGCTCACTCCTGGGATAGCCTGCACCAGCACAATAACCCCTGAGCCAAATAATTTGTGGCAGCATGGAGGAGGGCAGACAGTTTTCACTAATAACTTCAGGAGAGATGGAAGCAGATCATACATTAGACAAGTTTCAGAACAAGTTTCCATCTTGTTTATTTTATTTCATAGTAAATGAAGTAACACTAATCACTGTAACTGCAAATTAATCTACCCTCATGATATATTTTGCAGTAACAAGCCCAATGCAGAAATAATGTGATCCTTTCTCTTCTCTGAATTTGCAGTCCTTCTGCATTAGTGGTACACAAATGGATGGCAGCAGGATGACAAGATCAAGCTTAAGGTATATATCAGCTTAGTTTAGGAGATGGTGAAGGAGTTCAAACCTGCTGAGAGAACAGCTATATTAATAATTTGCCAAACTATGTGGTCAGCTGCATTTGACTTCTAGTTACCTGTTCAGCTGGTTTTCTGTACTAAATCACACATACAGAATCACACAGAGGAGTTGGAAGGGACCTCAAAAGATTATCCAGTCCAACCTCCCTGCCAGAGCAGGATCACCTAGACTAGGTCACAGAGGAACACGTCCAGGCAGGTTTTGAACGTCTCCAGAGGAGACTCCACAACCTCTCTGGGCAGCTTGTTTCAGTGCTGTCACTCTTACAGTAAAAAAGTATTTCTTTATGTGGAAATCTTTAAATGTAAGTTTTACAGCTTATGTTTACTGTCTCAAAAGCCTGACTAAGGCTTGTGTGTATTCTCTCTGTGAATGGCAGCTCAAAGTCCACTAACATCAATGGAAAATTTTCCAACAATTTTAGTGGCAACTGGACTGGACTCTAGCTTAAGTGGTATTAACATTTAGTGACTCAATTTAGCATGCTCAAAACTGAAGGATTCATAAACAACAGCCTTTGCACAATTTAGATTTTACAGAAAAGGAAACTGAGGCAGCAGTTTTTAAGTTGTTTTTCCCAGGAGAGCAGGCACAGATGGAGCCCAAATTAGAGCACAGGGCTTCTGGCTACCAGCCTGGTGCTCCAGCAATGAAACTATACTTCTGCTAATAATAGTAACACAGCCTCCCCTTTTAGAAGTACTGTATGAAGTATGTCACACAACTCTCGCTGATTCATAGGCTTGCATCACTTTCAAAACAAATGATCAATGAAAGTTCTCATGTTATTGGAGGTTTTGATTGCTTTTTACACCTGCATGATCAGTTTCTGGAACTAACTAAAACATGAAGTTAGTTTGCAGGAACACCTACCCTACTACTACTGTTTTTTAATTTCTGCTAGACAACCCATTAGGGAAACAAAACCCTTAGATCTTCACAGCTGAAATAATGCTCTGTTAAGAAACAATTTACCTTTTCCAGTCTGCAATTTTGTATTACCCGCTCAGTGATGCTGTCAGGAGTAAAGCACTTCTGATTCAAAAGTAATGCTTTCATCCTGAAGCAGCTAGCTTGCATTCTCTACAGAAGTGGTAAGCAGTTCATACGGAAAAAAAAAAAAAAAAATCTGCTCTTCCAAGTTTTGTACTCCACATTCATTTCAAGGCTCTGCCTAGATCTTCTATATGACTTCGGAAGTCCAAAAAGCTGGAAAACTGCCCAAGTGGTGGAGCCAGTAATTACTTCTGATAGAAACACCAGCTGCCAGCTTCCATGCCACCTGCCCCTCTCCCTTCCACAAAGAAGTGCCGCAGAGGCATTCGTGGGGCATAGCAAAGCATATGGTATCCCATTGAATTCCTGGTCAGCCAAGAGGTCTCCGTGGAGCTACAGTTGTGGTCTCCAGGAACAGACTGCAGACAGCACTGACATATACCTCAGGCCATTCTCGCTCCTGCCAAGCCCAGCTCTGTTTTCAGTGGAACAATGCCAGCTCACATTTAGGTAAATATCTGGCTGAAGTATACAAATACGGGGCAATTCTAGTAATTGCCCCCACGTAATAATTTTAATTTCATCAAAATCTTTTTTTTTTCCATGCTTGAGGCAGAAACGTTCCTATATCAACCTATTCCACGTAAATATACCTCTATACTACAGCTGAATAGTACAGCCTTACATGTGTGATTTATTAAGACAAAGAATTCTAAACTTGAATAGGTCTGATTTTTAAAAAGTTTATATATAAATACAAGGTGTGAAGTATTTTTCATGTTATACTCTGACAGATAAATTTATGTTCTTAAAATTGTTTCACATGCAAATTACTACCTATAGTTGTTCCTAAAAAGTAAATTTCTGGATAATCCACAAATGTCTTGACAAATAACTTCTTTCAACTTGTCTGGAAGAGCAGGTGACCAGGAAGACAGAATATACTACCATATGAAGTGCCTCCTGAATGAGTTTTCAGGGTGATCATCATTTATCAGGCTCCCATCATCGCTCACCTATTTACATTATCATCCTAGGCAGTGGTTTTGGCAGCTGTTTCTGGAATTAAAAATGCTTAGCTCATATTCATTTTCGGATGGATTTACTATCTATTTCCTAACCTATTATTCTGAATTTTGTTGTCACAACAGAATATAATTGAATTACAGATTGAATGTTACTAATAATAGCAATGAAGGAAATTAATAAAATAGCCTAGCATTCTGTTAATAAGACATCTGCTCACAGTGCCTTAAATATCAGACCTACATGTTGATGCTACAAAAAGAAAACCAAAAACACTCACAATTGTCAAATTGCCTTGCAGACAGTGAATTCAGTCTGGACCGCACTCACTCCTCAAACTGATGCTTTTTTCTAGGAGTTAAGTCTAGGAGTAGAACAAGGGCAACTCAAACACATTTTTGGTTTGTATTTTGTTTGGGTGAGAAGCAGCACATCTCTGTGAACCCTACCTGTGAAGGCCTGTTCCCAGGGCTGATTGAGGATCATTTACAGGAGAAGCATCCAACTGCATTTCATGTAGAGCATTTACTCACATGGGCTCCATCTGTGGGCAACTCTTACAAGATCCTGAGTTATCTCAAACTACGGCTGAAACTACTGGACCTGTGTAAATTGGCACAGTGCTTGACAAGGCTGGCCAGGTGTGAAAGTGCCTCTTCATCCTCTATGTTTGCTGACCGGATGGGCTGTTGCACATAGTGCAGTTCGAAAGTCTCCAGGCAGCATGGACACTACACAGAGGGCAGATGCATGTCTTTGCTTCATCCTTATTCTCATAAATCAACTTATAGGACCAAAGACTAGGTAAGTATATTTCTGTCTTTCCAGTTTTGGTTTTTTCCTTTTTCTCTGGATTTCCTTTTTTCTGTCTCAGTGGCAGAACTATGACTGCACTTTTAAGTACAGTCATCCTTTAAAGTAAGGCACTTTAATACGTGTTTACTGTGGATCTGATTTACTACATACACATGCCAGACACTGCGTGCAAACCACCACCTTTCTGCTGACAAAGCAAAAACTTCAGACTCTGAAGACAGATGAAAGGAAGATCTACTGAACAAAGTAAATACCAATCTGCGGTCTTCTGTTATGCCTAGAGAAGGAAAACGGCTACAGTATGCTTTTGTGTGCCTTAAACACAGTTAAATAAAGCGCTGCTATAGAGTAGCTAAGAAAATGCTTTTATGGCACAGGCACAAAACACAGTCCTAGCATCACTCCACACAACACTCCACAAACACACATCGAGATGTAAGCATTGCTCTCTGCTAGTCTACGTGCAATGGGACATGAATGACACATGCTTCTCAAAACTCCATAAAACAAAAAGAAACTGTCCCTGCATGGGAGTTGCCACCACCTGCTTGGGAAAAGCTGGGGAGCATAGACAAGCTCAGCAGCATGCACCGAAGGTCAAACAGCACCATCAATGCTGGGCTGATGGCAGAAGGGAAGGCTGGAAACCTCACCCCTAATTGCAAACACCCCACCTGACACTGCCAGCTTAATGAACAGCTCCAGGGAATACCCAAAAGGGAAAGACTGTTTCTAAGAAAGCTGGAAGCCAAAAAATGGAGTGATACCATTCCTAAAATAAGGTTGCCTGGTCGGAGGTTGGCCTCTCACTTCCAACCAATGAACTGCATTAGCTAGTAACAGTCAGTCCCTCCTTTGTTTACCAGGAAGAGAGAGGCTGACTTGTATAAACCCAAATGGGAGAGAAAAGGTGGTCCACAAACAGAATCTGTCCTTCCAGAGGGTTTGCCTTGAGGAAAATCTTAAGAGAAACTCTTGAATTCAGCAGCTTTTGGAATTATACCAAGAAACACATTTGAAGGCAGATCACTAGCTAAACACTGGAATTAGATGGCATGTGCACACTAAGCAAAGAACCTGCACATCTTGCACTTCCCCAAGTTCCTGAATAAACTTCAAGTGTGGCAGTGAATGGAGAATGCTGCGGTAGCTCAACCCGACACAACTAAAGCATAAATACCTGTAGTTCACGTCTGCATTTGTCAAGAAAGGTCACAATCCCAGAACCAAAGGGGGCTGAGAAGCCATCCTTGCTGCAGAGTAACTACTAGACCTATCACTTTCACGATAACACGACCTGGATTTTGAAAGCGATCGGTGTAGCACATAAAGGATAGCTATATTCCTTTCTCAAGTTGCTTTTTGTAATATGATCCAGTGCAGTTCTTCTAGGAACTCTCAAGCAGCTATTTACAATTCAAAGCACTGATCTATTGCAGTCATATGGTGGCTGCAACATTTAGCTCTGTGGGTTATTACAGAGGCACTGCTTTTTTTAAACCAAAGGGCATTAGTATCTAGGACACCAGCCAACCCATGTGTGATTAGGTATGAAGTTTCTCAAATGAATCTGTTGTCATGACCAACAGAAAATAAAAACACTGTCCCCACTTGACAAGGTTCAGCACTATCAGATCAGGTCCTAAAACTAGAAATTAACTAGTTCCTCTGTAAAATGATACATAATGTACCTTGCTGGCAAGATCCTTCAGCAAAGATGCAGAAAAGATGAATTGCATTCACTGAAATGATCAAGACTCTGTACTTACTTGCTTTTTCTTGTAGAACCCCTTCTTGTCACAATTGGGAATATGAAAACCCCTGGGACTCAAGACATTCAGGATCTTTAGGTGGTTTAAAGTGTCTTCCATTTCTCTACGACAGGGACCCTGTTAATGAGCATGTTTTAGAAAACACAGATGAAACTTCATTCCCAAATGCTGTCTTTCACACAAGAGTTAATAAATCTTTAAAGGGCAAGAAGTACAAACACAAACAAACCTATTAAAACAAATGAATGGCTGGATATGTCAAAGGGCAGACCATTCACAGGCAAAATTCCGACCTTCTGCTTTATTTAAGATATACCAATTTCTAAACAGTGAAGGTCCTATGCTATGCTGAGGCACAGACCGGCATTTCTAGTTGAAATCACAGTCACATATACCTACAAGGAGGCTTAACCAATATGTAAATCAATCGTATATAACATAACTCAGGTTTGGAAAAGCTGGCCTTGCACTAAGTGGGAAAAGAAGAAGGTAGGCAATTTAAAATACAACACTTGGTAGATTTTCCCTAATGCCATTTAATTTTTGTGATTCTGCTAGATTTGAAAGCTTAAACGAAATGGATTTAATTGAAAATAATTATTTGGCATAATGTATATGCATATATAAAAATACTGGAACTTTGGACAACAATTCCCAATTTCAACTGGATCAAATGGATGCAGCCATGCAAAAGAAAGGTTGCATATAACACTCATTAGGTGAGTATGTCACTTTTTGTCTCACTTTCTCCATCTGCAAAAGGCTGACAACAGTGTAGTGAGGATTAGCTCTGGAAGAATGAGCCAAAAAGAACTTTCAGAAACACTTTTAAGAGCACGTCTCAAACGCCAACTAATTATTTCTCCCTGCAGCCCTTCAGGGTAAAGTGTTACGAGCCCCACTTTGCAGTCAGAAAACCAGGAGTGGAGGAGCTCTTGTTTTACCAGAGGCCAAGAAGGCAGTCAGTGTCAGCAGTGGGATTTGGATTCAAGAGTCGCAGCCTACAAACTCTGTGCTTTGCCACACTCCTGTCTGGGAACATTACTGACTTGGTCCACCAGCCCACTTCAGCAGATACCCCCCAAAAAATTCCTTTGCATGGGTTTAAAATGTTTAAGTTGCGGTATCAACACAAAGACCCATTTGGTGCAATTTTTAATTAGTGAAGTAATGACATTTGTACTTTCAAGTGGTAATATTATAGTTCGCTCATGTAAAGTGCCTTTTATGTCAGTGTCTGAAAGCATACAGACTCCACAGCTCTACTGCAGTTTAAAATTGACTTTTTTTTTGTTAGCAAAGACCTTCCTTGATACTGAAGTAAAACATGAAAGCAGCAATCACGCAAGCTCTAAACATGCACTTTAAATTGCTACTCTTATTGGCAGCTCCTTAAAAAAACTAAAACTGCTCAGATACACTGACTGCAAATCACACACATGCAAAGACTTGGTTGACTTAGGTCTACAAAAATTCCAACAGGTTTTTTAAAATTATTTTGACGCAGGCTCTCAAAGTCAGAGAGATCAATATCAAAAACTAACATACAGATACAGCCAGAAGGGCATTTGCTGACAAAGGCACCTGTCCTCAGTGGACTTATTTCTGGTTCTTACAGACACCAGCAGCCTTGGTAAGTCAGTGCGCCTTTGCTCATGGGGCGTAACTACCACACAAATTAAATGTGTGTCCTAGTTAAGACCAGGACCCTATTTCCTCAGAACTACCAAACTTCATTCTTTTACTATAAGCTACTTCATGTTTCTGAGAGCAGGACATACTGAAAAGCATATACTGAAGTTATTTTACGAGACAGCCGGACATCAGCGACAAACTAAACATGCAGCTTCACCATCCTTGCCCTGTTAACTTGGAGGCCACGCTCTCTTCAGACACAACTTCCTACTTCATACAGGTTTCAAGACCTTCTTTTGCAGATGGAAGGCCATGTCTGGTTTCACCATGACTGTTCTGATGAAACACAAAGTATATCTGCACATTTTCTAGCCTCTGTATTTAGGCAGCAGCACCAAAAGGACAACTGCAAGTGCATGTGGTATTCACTGTGCCATACAATGACTGATCAGTCAAGATTCCTATCCTCAACCCAGCCTAAGTTTATCTCCCTTGATTTGCGCCATGGAGTGTGAACACAGTGCCACTGCACTTAATGTGAAACATCTGTTTTCTATTACTGCAACTCAATAATGCTGTTTGTGAAAAATTTTATGAAGACACTATTAAACCTGTTCCAAGTCCGTTCACACAAATGTGTGATAATTACAGGAGGGAACTAGAACTTTTGAACTCTAAGAAATGACTTAATGAAAATCATACTTGTATCAACGCAAACATCATTGTGTTAGGCCTCTATATTTTCTGAGCACAATCTGCATGATTATCTGCCTCTGTAGATCCAATAGTTTTCTAGGTTAAACAGACATAATCCCCATAATGACTACAATTCTGCCATTTAATTATTTATTTATTTATCTTGTCCTATGTACAACATACGCAAACATACACACCTATGCACACACTCACATGCTGGGAAATGCCCTTCTGTTTACAAAAGTACTTACGTATTCAGTCTCTTGTTTGGATTCAGAAGAGAAATTAAGTGTATCTGTACTCTGCGAATCATATTCCACTTTATAGCGCTGCGTATTTTTGGCTTGCACTTTCCTGATGACATCTATTTTGGTGTGCGGTGGATGCGATTTGGAATCTGGCACCCTGTGAGAGTTTGGGATGGCCTGATTTTCTATGCTGCTGGTACTCTGGTCGTCTTCTTCTGAATCACTGGAATTTCCTTTCAGAAAACCAAACATAGTGAAGAAACAATGTTAATCAACTGCTAGCTGTGTCTGGAAGGGCAAGAAGCCACTAGATTAGTCTACATGCTTAACTTTCCTTTACAAAATAGCGATACATAAAAAGATGAACAACTTCGCATTCCGCATGCATCAGCACCTTTGTTGCCAAGCGATGACTTTTGTAACCAAAGCATCCCTTCGCTGCCGGCAGCCTCACAAGGTACCCCACTGCACTGCCCATCCTAGCTGCCCAGCACCTGAAAACCAGCTACCTCCACTTCGCTGCAAGCCACCACCACCCACTCGCCTTTCTTGCCCCTCGATGTCTGCTGCAAATTTGGTCACTGCTGCAGGGAAGCCCACAGCAGCCCCACCAGCACCAGGGGTGTGGAGCCTTCCCCTCCATCATTGCTGACCCATGGCTGATTTAATTCACTTCAATTAAGTGCGGTTAGTTTGGATAACTTACAGGCTGTAGTCCAACTCTGTCTTCCCTAGGAAGGTTTTGTGTTTGTTTTTTTTAAAGAGGTGTTAATACAATAAATTCTACCACACTGAGTTTCACAGTACTAGTTAGTTATTTTTAACAGTTTTTCTTTCTTAATTTTATTCAACAAATAAAACGGGTAAAAAAATAGCAGGCTTTCACTCTTCTGCTATTAAAATCAGAAACACTTCTAAGTGTACAAAATACATTTTAAAGGTAATAGACAAAAAATGCCATTCATTCTGTAATGGTGTCAAAGGACAAATATCTGCTTTCATTACAAGCTTCAAAAATATTTTCTTTTTAAACTATCATCCACGAAAAACAGAAGCAGCACATATTTCCAAAATACTGCGTAAGCCCAGTGTTCCTGTACCTTCTGAGTTATTTGTCTACACTGCATTTCTCCCTCTTTGGAGACTCCTGCAGTGTAACTGTAACTGGCTGCATTTCCTCCAGGGAATTTTTCAAATTTGGATATTGCTATCAGGTAAGTAGCTAAATCTCACTAGTTGCTGCCTTGGCTGCTGGCCACTTTTTTTTAAGGATATCATATTGGGAGTGCACAATCATAACTGATGTACAAGGAACTTCCTGCAAATCTGTATCAAAATTTTACTTGATGGCTCACTGAAAAGCCAGAAAAGCCAAGAAATTCAGTGCTAAACCATGTTCACATAGCCCATTGACTCTAAATATTTCAACACAGGCAGTACAGTGGTACTGCCAAATACACAGGAACAGGGGAGGAACATGAGGAAGGAGGAGGGATCCAAGCTAACATCTTGGTACCGGTGGTTTTAATGTAGCCACTGCTGGCAATGGACATAATTGACCAGGAAAATCCAACTCCCAGTGCAAATGGATTAAGGAAGTTTAAGTCTTAAGTCTAAATTTCCTGGCTTTTGTGGGTTTAACTCAGACTCTCAGTGGTATTTGAACATATTTTTGGTGGTTTAATGTCCTGTTTTTAAACACTGGTATTTTTTTTTCCACATTCTCAGTGAAGTTTGCAAGAAATGACACAATAAAACGTTATAAATCTCCTAAATATAAATACTACGCCTACTAGGTTTTCTGCAATCAGTCCAGCTCATTAGTTTGCCTCCTCTATCAAAAAGAAGTAGAAAATATTCTTAATGTGTATTAAATAACTACCAGGCTGGTCATTTCACTTTAGGTAGACCACTACATTTCAGTAGCAGATCTTACACTTCATTTTGTAACAACTGTAATGCTACATTTTAAACTGTAAAGCACCTCAGATTAACTCAGGTTCACAAAACTTGGTGCCATGTTAGCTTTACACCCTCGTAACAGAAACAAAACTGCTGTGACAGTTACTTGCTCTCTTTTATAAAAGAGATTAGAAGGCCTGCACATGCATACTACTTACTTAACGCGTTAGTGCCCAAAAAACCTGACCTGGAAAGGAAGTCCGTGGCCTACTACAGCTGCTGTTAAGAAGCTACTGTAATATACACCACCCCATATTGATTCCTAGCAATTTCTGTAAACTAGAAGCAACCAAAAGCATAGCACGTGATGCAGGATCTAGCTGTAAGGGGGATGATGCCTGCTCAGGGAGTGCGTGTGTACCAGGGAGCGCTGGATTTAGAGCTCAAAAGGGGAGCAATCCCCATGAAGAGGCAGGCACTACACGTCACACTGGTTCAGCGTATTTCTTCCCTCTCCCACCTCAGGTTTGCAACCTTCATTCCTTGAATGAGAACTGTAAGGGTCCTGCTTTGCACTTTTTAAGGAATCAAAGCTCCTACTGATTGCAAAATCGGAGCTCTCCCTCAGCCAAGAATGCAGAAACAGGAACTCAGCATTTTGTCTATTTAGGCTGAAAATAGATTTTCAGCAAAGCACAGCTCTGTCTTCCCCTTTCTCCTTCTCTAACAGTCACTGTTAAAAGCACTACCCCTCCATTAAACAGCACCAACTCTCAAATATGGAGGAGACACCCCTTGTTTCCAGTTCATGTGAAGGATGAATATGCAGAGCTAAGTTCATGTGATAAGGAAGCTGCTCCATGTTCCAATGAGATCTAAAACATCAGTGGGTGCCTCTGAACTCTCCATTCAAATTGTCACAGCTTGGGAGCAGCACATAAATAATTATAATAAGGCATCTACTACTCTCATAGCAGCCAGTTAACTGGAACACTGGTGCCACTTCCTCAGCTAAGGAGAGGCCAGCCAAAGAGTCTCTGCAACCCAGCAGACAAACTCCTGGCTTTTTAAAAATGCAAACAGTGGAAAGCCTTTTGACACACTTTTCTATTAAATAAATGTTAACATACTTGCTGTTGGTTAGCAAACAGTTTAATGAAATGTTTGCACAGAGCGACTGTGCTTTCTTGATCTGAATCCCAAGTTTCCCTGTCTTAAGTTTCCAAATGTGCATGCTAACAGAACTTTTTCCAACCGTCCCTTCCTCTTCAAACAAAACAAAACCCGCTCTGTGAACGTTTCACGTAAGAGGTACAGGAAAGCTTCGTTTGACCAAAGATTTATTTGCAGTGCAGGCAAAAAACCAACGTCCTCTTAAATACTGCTGTGCAAACGCTTTGTTCTGAATAACCACCTTCCCGGGCCAGGGGACTATTTAACTTCTTTTTTTTCTCCCCCCCCCCCCCCCCCTTCTTCCCTGTGCTTCGCATTCCCCTGACTCAGCCATGCTGCAGCACAGTTTATCCCACACTCTCCAGTTTTCTTGCACCCTCTTTCCAGGAACCCTGGGGCCAAAATCGCGAGGATCTCACCCTCTCTCCATCCAGGCTCTGCAGCCTGGCAGCCCCACACACCCACAGAAAAGGCGTGCAATCCCTCCCCA